CCTACACGACGCTCTTCCGATCTCCCCAAAACCCCAAAACCCCATCATACATCGAATATATGGAATTGAAACTTATTAAATCACAAATCGTTTAATAGATATTAAAATATTGCATATCATACTTATAGATGATCAACTATGTATAAGTGCTCACAACGTCAACTTTGGAGACATTTCTTCAACGAATTCGGAAAATGATACTTTTGCATCTTTGTCTTTGTCAAATTTATTCATTATAAAGCTCATTTCCTTCTCAGTAGCGAAGAATCCGTGATCAGCAAGCATATCTCTTATTTCAGAAGAGGTAACAACTCCGTCTCTATTTCTATCCATATATTAGAAAGCACTCTCAAGGGAGAAATGAGGTCTTTTTGCTATTCTTGCTCTCAAGCATTCATTAGCTCTTTCAGTATGGAATATTGATCTAAACAAATTTCTAATTTCTAGTCTTGTGTCTATGTTGAAGTAATCCTGATAGCTGTAATTCTCTTTCCTTGAGAAGAAATCTGGTCTTCCATTTAGAATTTATGCATATTCCTTAGATAGAGGAGTTGCTGCATAGCTAAATTCTCCGTAAGTTATTCTACCATTATTATTCAAATCATATCTTCTGAAGAATAAGAAACAGTCATCTCGTGAAACTGAATCAATCTAAAGATATTTCATCAAATTTTCTTGCAAATCAAGGGCTGAGAAGAATCCCTTAGCATTTGGATCTAAGATTCTAAATAGATCAAGCAAGTTGAAGTCTGGCTTGAGTGATAATTCTATTCTGGCAGATTCAAGTTCTCTCTCTAGGAAAATAGAGTCCTTAAATATCTTAGCTACCTCACCCTTCTCAACTTAATCAAATACTCTGGTTTCTAGCATAGCAGGTGATTGAAGTTATGATACTCTCAAGTAATCATTTTAAATTAGGCTATTACTCTATGCCGATAACAGATAATTGTTTTCTTTGGATGGTGAAGCTTTTCTTAATGGACTGCCATTGTTAAGTTCATATTTTGATGCCTAGTATCTTGTGGGACTTTAATCAAGTTCAAGATGTCTTAATCCACTTGTCAGTCCTTAGTTATTTGTGGTTTAATTAATGTTTCTTTAAGGACTGGGAGTATAGTCCTTGTTATCTCTTGCTCTTTCAAAGTTTTCGAATAAATTTTTATTTGGAGTAGCAAAGTTGTTGTTAGCTTTATTTTGACTTTCTGCAAATTCTCTTACTCTTACTTAATTATTGAAGGTCACTGATTTATTTAATTTTGATGGAGTGCTATCTTCATATTTTGATGCGCTACTTCTTCTCTACATGCTTTCTTCGTTTCCACCATAAATCTAATTTAACACGTTAAATCTGTGCTATTATGCATTAGAAGCCTTGTTAGCACTTGACGGTCTCTTTTTTATTGGTGTCTTTTACTTCTAATTACTCATCAATTTATTAGGAGTATTGATGAATGATTTATTATTATTCTTTTTGACAGATGATTGATTTCTAATATCACTCTTGGAAGCGGACTTAGAGAGGGCGAATGATGAACTGGGGTTTTGCTGCTTTACTTTTGCAGTGTAAGGGCTAATTAGTGAAAATTATGATCTGACTCCTTCACCAAACTCTTCAATATTGACTTTGGCATCTCCATCCGTGTCTACCCTTCTGATGACTGCAACTAGTTCTTATTTTGATGCTAAATAACCCACATTTCTTAAGAACCTCCTTAAATTCTTCTCATCAATATAAGTGTAATTCCAGTCATCAACAGCCTTAAACAAAGCTTAGACGGAGAAGTCGTATGATTACTCAAGATTTCTCTTCAGATTTTCAGCTTTCATTTGTAGTTTTAGCTCCTTAACAAGCAAGTTCGTCAAAGCTTTTTCTACTCTCATTGGTAAATACTCATGCCTTCCCAATTTATAATTTGGCCTTTAAGCTGCAGCTGCTCTCAAAAATGCATCATCACAGGGTAGAAGTATTTGCAAAAAGCTATTATACAGTATTTTATAAATGTAAAATTAATTTACTCGTGATAAGTGAGTCTTTGGTCGTTGTCTTAGTCGAAATATCTAACCATATAAATTGCATCATCTTTAGTTATTTCTCTATAGCCGTTCTCTCTTAAATATTGTGAAACATTCTTTGAGGTTATATAGCCATTATCATCTCTGTCAATTCTTTTAAATGCTGCATATGGCTCAAATTCTTTGATTGAGGAGAGCACTTGTCTTAATTTTTCTATTGAAAGTTCCTCTTCAGCATAGCATACGAATAAATCTTTGAGTCTTAACTTGGTGTCGTAACTAATCATAATGTATTGAGTTTTTCTAATTTTTTGCAAAAAATGTTCAACAAGTAATTTAATTATAATACTGAGCAAAATTTATTTCATTACTTAAAAATAAAATTTATTTTAACTCGCGGGGTTTTGGGGTTTTGGGGTTTTGGGG